CTTCCACAATCTATGGCACTCCTATTTCTACACGGGTCTGTAACAGATGATTCAAGACTTATCGTTGGAAATTTCTTTAGGAAAATAAATAAGTCTATATAGTTGAACCACTAAGAACTTATGCGGGAAAAATATTCCCAAGATTGCCTCAACAACTTAATTTCATGCTCCTGACTTTCCCATCAACATGGATCACAAACCAACATTCTTCCTCAACACCTTGGACCAGTGGAGCTAAGCCAATGGCTGCCCCCAGCTCAGGACACCAGAATTTAAGTCTTCATAGGAATTTCCAGCATATACTCCAACCCAGCTCTGTACTCCCGATTTATTACACATACTTGAATATAATAAGGTGGAGGTTTTTATTTTTCTGGGGAAAGGTCACATTTAAGTCTTTTCAAAATCTCTCCTAGTATGGGGCACTTTCTGAATTGCTTTTATTGTTAAAATATTATTTGGGGAAGACACACTAATTTGACACGACATCAATCGATGTTGTGGATACTTATCAGTAAGAAAGAGGTCAGGCTGTTGAACACAATTCTCAGACTTATTCATTATCTCACAATGGCGAGTACCTAAATTTGTCACAAGTAAATCTGTCACGATGATTAAGCTGTGAAGATTTCAATGTGCATCGAAGGATAATGTTAAATCTTTTGGACATTTTGAAAATGGTATACTTTCCAGAGACAGCATCAAAAGCAGACTCAAATCAAGCTATATCTCAAGCCACCGGGTCTGAAGTAAAGAAGAAATTGTATTCAAATTGCGTTCGATGCTACAGGTGGAGTCTGAATGTAGTTAGTTCATGAAATGTAGATTTACAAATTAATGCTTGTAAGTTATTATTTTATAAACTATGTGACTTTAAGTGGGTTTGTGAATTAATATGCCAAATTAAGCATAAAAGGACATGTGACCACTGCATCTACACAGCTAAATGTTTTCATAATACGGTTGGCCAAACTCTGCTTTTGGTGGGGGATGGGGAGATTCCCCTAGTGAGAAGTGAGAGACCAGCTTCTGTAGGGATCCTTTCATATCTGGGTATGATCTTGAGAGCAACTGACTTGAAGAATCTATATGTGACGTGATCTGGCAGTTGACAAAAGGCAAGGACAAGAAATGCTATAAAATCTAATTTTGGAATTCCAATCTGCTTGGGGTTCTTGTCAGGAATTCTATTTGTTTCATTGGGTAAAACCTGGGATTCATTTCAGCTTGAGCAGAAGGGCTCCTCATCACCTTTCTTGGGCTAATGAAAGGAATCTCTTCAAAAATTTTACCCCTTAAAACTCAGAAGGCAATATATTGACATTCAGCACCAGCAAGGCAATTAGTTATATCAATAATATTGAACACGTAGCAAGTGCTTCCTAGGCACTGTGCAAAATGCCTGATAGGTAATGATCACACAATTTATTTTCCTCATCTTAGAGATCAGAAACTTGCATAGTAGGGGAAGGAGCTTGCCTAAACTCCACAAATGGGAAATGACGGAGCTGGGCTTTGAACCCAGACCTGCACGTGTTTGCATGGTGCTCTACCATTTCCCCAGTTTAAGTAACAGAATCCATGAGAGAGTCTAAACCTTTCCAGGGGTCCCTACCACTACCTACAGCACCTCTCTTCCCATGTCAGGCCATGGGAGAAATCCAGATTCGTGTTCTGTAATCATCCTGAAGACTGAGCTTACCATCTAGAATGATTGCTTCAAAACTCACCCGATGGCTGAGCCCATCAGTATTATTTTAGTCCTCATTCTTTGTGTATTCACATTTTTATATCTAAATACCATTTATTATACCTACATTGTTGCAGCTCTTCCTTGGACCAGCCAAACACTCCTCTTCGATAATGTTCTCCTCTAACCTCCAGGCTCATGCCTCCCTATTGTCCTTCACTCCATCTCCTTGGTAAGTGTTGAGGTTTCTCTTAGCTCGATGTCCCGGTAATCTCATCTGTTGTCAGGGCTTTGCTTTCCACCCTTGGGCTCCTCATTTTATATTTCAAACTGTTCTAAACTTCAAAATCATGGCTCCAGCACTTCTCCAAGACTGTGGGGCATCTCTACTTGTGTCTCTGATTCAACAGATGCCCACAGGAACTCACTCCTTCCTCTTCATCCACAACCCAACCTTGCTCCCAAAACTGGTATTCCCCTTACAGTTCTCATTTCCTTTCGTGGCATCCACTGTGTAACCAGCCATACTCACCTGAAGCCTCACACACGCCCTGGACTCTTCTTTATTTCTCATGATTTCCCCTTACTTGTATCCTTAACCTATGTTCATCGGATCACCAGATTCTTTCAATGTTACCTTCTAAATGTCCTGTCATGTTTCCACTTTGCTGTTTCCGCCACCACAACGAAAGCCTTCATCACCTCTCATTGGATTATTGCAATGGCCACCTGCGGCCCTCTCCTAGCTCAACTCCATCCTCTAAGGCCTTCAGTGAGTGACATTTCTAAGACACGAATCTGACCATCTGACCATGCCCACCCCTGGTTATAAACCATCCACAACTCTTCTTGACCTGTGGGGCTACCCTCACTACCCTCACTGCATCGCCGGGCACATAAGGCTCCTCAACCAGGTTCTTGGCTATATTTCTAATCTCATTCCTATCTACTTCTTGCCCCTTCTCCAGTCATGGGATCTATGTGAACCGTGATCCAGACCAATGGAGCTATGTGCCACAATCTATCACACCAGCAGTGAGCTCCTGAAGGGAAGTCCTTATCTTGCTTAGTACTCTCTGCGGATCCACTATTTATACCTGCACTGTTGACTTCAGACTTTTTAAAGAAATGTGGTTCCAGGCATTTTTAAGGAACTTTACAAGAATTCCTCATCCTTTCAACAACTCTGCAAGGCTGCGCAGTACAATGGCTCCCAGGTAACAGGCAAAGAAGATGATTCCAAGAAGCTGAGGAGCCTGAATGATTACTAAGAAGAAACGAGTAAGTGGGTCAGCCAAAATTTGAAGCCAGGTCAGGCTGACTCTAAAGCCTGTGCTTTAACTGAGACCTGCCCTGCAAGTCTCGCTGATGATATCTACCACCAGAATTTCACCTTCGAGAGAACAACTGGGAAGCAATGTCATTGCTTTAGGCTCTCATCGGTGCAGCCCACAAGGTGCCAGGGGCAGTCACTTTGGGAAGCAGCAAGTCCCATACTTCAGTCCAGCTTACGCTGCCTCCCAGCATCCCGTGAACAGAAAAGCGTGGGTGCTCTATGAAGCCCTTTGAGGAAGGAGCCTAATATCTCAAGCAGTCCATCTCCAAGGAAGGGGAAAGTCTAGAAATGAGACTGAACACAGCTTCTGACTTACTGGTCTCGATGGAATACTCAGAGCTTGTCTATCCTGGAGAAGTACGAGTCCAAGCTCTGCCCTCCTGAGTCTGGATTCATTAAACAATTGATCCAACCTACCTATTTATTTCCGTTATCTAATACTAATGCAACATACCTATCCTCAACTATAGCCAATGGGAAAATTGCTTCAATAATTACCCATTATGTAAAATATATGCACTAACTCCCTTATTGCTTTTACAATGTTATCCCAGAAGCTCCAGCCTCACAACTCCCGGATCAAGTGCAAGATGGACCTCTGCCAATAGCTGGCGTGTGGCTTTGTGCAGATCTGTTTCTGTGTTCTCGTATTTTAAGCCAAGGGATATAGTAGTTGATCCATAAGTAGTCTCTTTGAATTCTAATATTTGGAGACTCCCCTTACTTTTAGGAGCAGACTCTCCTTACTGATGGTTCTCGCTTGGTTAACTCTAAGGCAACCTAACCATGTGACCATTTTCATAAATGACTTTTAACAGGGTAGTCAGGGATGATGGGTTGGAGGTTAATTCCAGGAGGGTGGGGGAGGACTGTATCAGTGCATTCAAACGCATGCTGAAATATCCATGCCATTCAAACATATTTCAGGCCAGCCATTTAGGGAAAGTCCAAGATAATTCAGTGCCTACGTGAACACTGTCTCATGTTCACACATTCACATGTGTGAAAATGACTCTTAGACCTATTGCAATGAGTACTGAAATGCCATCAGGTGCAGGAAGCAATCAATATAAATATGAAAATTCAGGGTAATGAGACAAGCAGATATTATCGGTGAAACTAAGTGACAAGGAAAACACCCGTTAGGTGTTGTCATAGCTGACACATGCCTATAGCAAACGGTTGCTAGGTTCTCAGCAAGTTTTGTTTACATGAGTGATTTGAACTTCTCACGACATGACAGCCGAGCTAAGATCAAATGATCTATGACACAGGTGCTCAATAAATGCCCGTCGAATGAATATTGTGTGAGCATGCCCTCAGAAGTAACATTATGCAGAAGTAAAGCATGGCCAAGACTTCGAAGACTCAGTTTCCCTCCCAAAGACGAACCAGGAGTTCCAGAAGGATTATTAAAGAGGCTCCTTTTCCATCTTTGTGGTGTTCATTGTCACAGAAAACATTCCCACCCAAATCCCATCCACGAAAACACACTATAGGAAAATAACTTATATGCCAACATATTACTGATATTCCTGATCAAACAGGGGCCCACTGACCCAAAACGCAATCAAGAAGGTGCATTTTTAAAAGGAAGGAAAAACCCTGGTTTGGCACAGTCTACTGGCCTCCCATTTGAAACTCAGACAGCCGTATATAATCTTAGTCTGTTAAACCCGATCTGGCGAGAAGCCCCAGATGTGGAAGGAGGAGGGAGCTTCCAAGAAGTTCTGGAACACAGAGGGAATCCTCAGAGGTGCGCTCAGCCATCAGAGTCTGCAGAGCAAGGCCAGTCACCCGCCCGGGGCTGCAAGCTTTGCTCCCGGGGAGGGGGAAGCCGACTCACCTTCCCTCCGCGAGGTGGCCCGGGCTGCGGGCAGGAGGAGCGCCAGGCAGAGGCAGCCGCTCAGCCAGAGCGCGGGCATGGCCGGGCCGCGCCGTCCGTCCGCCGCGGAGGGGTCGTCCGCGCTCTGCGCTCCGCTCTGCCTTGCCTTCCCTCGATCAGGTGGTTTTATCGACTCTTCTACCTGACTCAGTCCTGACAGGAAGAGAGCCTGTGTTTCAGGGTGTGACTCACCTGTGAATAAGGAGGACCCAGCCCTCCGGAGGCAGACAAACACACACCGCACACACCGGGCGCACAGGCGCTCGCCGCAGCCGCCGGGCTCCCCCCTCGCGCCGCAGGAGGGTGGCACACCTGGCCGGGGCCAAGGGTGTGGTGCGGAGGCTGCGGCCCGGGGATCCTGCCCGGAGGAACGTGCCGCTTCCCCACAGCCCTCCTTCTCTCCCGGGGTGGTCCGCGGCCCGGTTCGCAGAGGTGGGGAGGCGGCAGCCGGCTCCTTTCTCAAACTGGGAGCCCCAGCCGCAGGTGCGCCAACTCGGAAACCAGTCAGCAGCCCCGATCAGCTCTGGTCGGAAAGGCTGCGAGGAGAACAGGCCGGTGGGAGAGTCGTAACAGGGAGCTCGCCACCCTCCGGCCTGCCCTTCGCCCCTCTGGGAAGTACAGCGCCCTTCCCCTCCCCACCCCACCTGCTCTGCTAACACGTCTTTCCTTCCTTCCCCATCACCAGGCTGCACGAGGCAGGGGGGGGGCTCCTCTCCTGGGACCCCCTAACTTCCTGATCACCTGGGCCTGCAACTCACGAAGTCACCTGCTCATTGGTTGGCCTCCCTACCAAGGCGAGGTGCGGTCGCTGGCGCCAGGTCAGTGCTCAGGACATGTTCTGTTGAGTAGAGTAAAAAGGAGGACCCAGATTTCATATTCCTTTTACATTTCCGAGCGTTCTTCTCAGACAGCCCTCTGTGGGCCCACAGAAAATGTTTGACACGGCTCACCTTGACTGTCATCCAAGTCCATTGTGCTAAGTGAAGGGAGTGATATCCAGGAAACCAAAACTTGCTGTATCCTACATCGTCTTCATCCCTAAGGAGGCTGGTGGCCAAATGCGGAGGCCTCTGTCAGAAGGCTTTGGTTCCTACTGGAGACTTAAGAATTACCAGAGGGGGAGTCAGTGGGTTAAGATACCAACTCTTGATTTCAGCTCAGGTCAGAAACTCCCTCTGTCTCTGCTCTTTCCCCTGCTTATGCTTTCTCTCTCTTTCTTTAAAATAAGTAAATGAATAAAATCTTTAAAAAAATGAACTAAGTAAATAAAAATCACCAGAGGTTTATACGTACTCAGTACATATGCTCAATCTGTCCAAAACAACACCTCTCCTACTTTTCATCGTCAAGGTCTGCAAAGACTCCCAATAATTTGCTGTTCACTGGGGTGCCTGGGTGGCTCAGTGGGTTAAAGCCTCCGCCTTCGGCTCAGGTCATGGTCCCAGGGTCCTGGGATCAAGCCCCATGTCGGGCTCTCTGGTCAGCGGGGAGCCTGCTTCCCCCCTCTCTCTGCCTGCCTCTCTGCCTACTTGTGATCTCTTTCAAATAAATAAATAAAATATTTTTTAAAAAATTGCTGTTCACTGACTGAAGGAATGAATGTTCTCTAGAAGTTCCATAGATGATAATAAAAGGCAAGAAACAAGACAACATAGTATATGATTATGTATCAAAAGGTGTAAGGATTTCAGTTTATACATGTAATTGAGAACCGTATGGGCTGGCTGGGATAGCTAGGGAGGGTTTTGTACAAAACGTGGACCATGAACTAGGTATTCAGGAATAATGAGGATCTGAATACAGCACCAAAGGACTTCAGGGTGGTTGGGGGTTGGGGGGGGGAGTTTACTGCAAACTGGCTACCGTCTACTCTAAAATCTCCAGCAACAACAAAAACGAAGACTAGAAAGAAAACTCCAATTTTTCTCATCCCAAGGTTCCACTCTTCTCTTCTACTCTGTTTAGGATTTAAACAAATAACATAAAAATTCTTCTCTCTCGAAACTCAATTACTGCTACAGTTTCAGTTCCTGGAAACCAGGTATTTATAATTTTCCCATCTAGTAACTAGTAGACTTGTGGAGGCTGTAATTGTAATTGTAAATGCTGAAGTCATGTCTCTGGGTCCCTGAGCCTTGCACGTCTACCCATCAGTGTTGTGTAATCCTGCAGAATCCTGCAAGAACAAGGACAGATCCCTGCAAAATAAAGTCTTGAATGTAAACTTCCTTTTAGTGCAGCTTATTATAGTTTATTATATAGATACACAAATACATATTTTTCACCTACCATCATTTTTGGATGGTGATAGGAATAAAAGCGATCACATATATAGACCTACTATTTGTAACTGCTGTTGTAAATCCTTTATACATAACAAAATGTTTATCTTTGAAGCAATGCTATGGGATAGGTGTACTATTAATGTCCTGTTCCAAAGATGAGAAAAGAGAGGCATGGAATGGTCAAGTAACGTGCTCAAAGCTGCACTGCTTAGTAAGCGGCAACTAAGATTCACAACTCGGGAATATCGTTCCAGACATTACAGGTCAGATGAAAAAGCCCCATAAAAAGACAAATTCACAATACTAAATGAATTCAATTATGCAGCCTATTGTTTTTCATCAACATTCACAACAACGCAACCAAATTGTGGACTCTTGGTCCACATCGACAGAACCAAGTCACAATGACTCTGAACGAGCATTTCGGATATTCCTACCATGTGAGCCCTGAAAGGCCCCCCAGAGGTCACCTGGACCTGGGGTAGGAAATAGGCAGCATGGCCCGGGGCACCAGGCCAACCAGCAGCCCCTTTTATGGCAATGCTACACATCAGTGTTTCTCCTTTCCTTCCCCTTCTTATTACCTTACTCTGGGTCTCTCCACACCTCTCAACAACCTGTCTGGCTCAGGCTGGAGAAACCAGCTCTGGCTTACTCTTCTACCTTGCTCAAGGACAATACCAACCCCCTTGGCCAATTTGAGGATTTTTCTGTAGTGCTCTACCGGTCAAAAGTCAAGCTTCTTGAAGGTTCTTGAATTCCCAGAGCCAGATCCTGGCTTGCCCTCTCATCAAGGCAGTTTATTTAGTTTTCTCTAAGCCACAATTTCTTCATCTATAAAATGGAACTAAGGATAGAACAGTTACCCTGTAGGGATGCTAGGAAAATTAAATGCATCAGTGATCTATCTAGTACTCAGGGGAAGTACCAAACCTATAATACACACTATATGAGTTAGTTATAATAATAATAATAGTTGTTCTTGCTATTGTTGTCACTAAGCACCATGGGTTTTCCCTTATTATAATTACTAACAAATGCCATGTGAGAAAGATGGGGGATTTTGCTTCAATCCTTCTACTACGTGACAATTCAATAATAATTTCAAACTTCCATGAAACTCTTGGTCTAATCCAGGTTCCTATCCTGATTGCCAACATTTACTTGGAAGTTGTTAATTAATCTGTATTTTTGCTACATATCTTGAAATTTCCGGGGCGCCTGGGTGGCTCAGTGGGCTAAAGCCTCTGCCTTCGGTTCAGGTCATGATCTCAGGGTCCTGGGATCGAGCCCCGCATTGGACTCTCTGCTCCACAGGGAGCCTGCTTCCTCCTCTCTCTGCCTGCCTCTCTACCTACTTGTGATCTCTGTCTGTCAAATAAATAAATAAAATCTTAAAAAGAAAAAAAAAAAAAAAAAAAAGAAATTTCCTTCACCTTCAGATCTTCCTGCCTAATGTTTTAAGATTTTTGCATTTAGAACTTCATTTTAAATATGGGGTAGGAAGATCTTATATTTCAGGGAAAATGGAAGGGTAAGATGGGTTTAAAGAATTCTTCTGATTAATTTCAGTGAGCACATGCTTTTCGAAAAGGTTAGTGAAAGTCTATTTGCTTTACCATGTGACCCAAATAAATCTTTCTTTTCCAAATCCAGACAAAAATCATTAGGTACTACTCAGCAATAAAAAAGAAAGAACTGCTGGGGCGCCTGGGTGGCTCAGTGGGTTAAGACACTGCCTTCGGCTCAGGTCATGATCTCAGGGTCCTGGGATCGAGCCCCCGAGCCCCGCATTGGGCTCTCTGCTCAGCAGGGAGCCTGCTTCCCCCTGCCTCTCTGCCTACTTGTGATCTCCCTCCCTCTGTCAAATAAATAAATAAAATCTTAAAAAAAAAAAAAGAAAGAAAGAACTGCTGACACGTACAGAACACGGATGAGTCTCAAGGCACTGTGCTATGTGAATGAAGCCAGACAACAAAGGACCAAATTCTAAATAGTTCCATTTATATGAAATCCTAGAAAAGGGGAAACTGCCAGGAAATAACGTACCAGTGGTTGGCAGGGGCAGAGGACCGACCACAATGGGGCCTGAGGCTCATTGTGGGGGATGAAAGAAATATTCTGATATACAATAATGGTCAAAAGCAATCGAGTTTTTAAAAAAGCAATCGACCTGTACACTTAAAATAGGCAAATCTGACTGTGTATAAATTATACCTCAATAAAACTGGTATAAAAAAATAAGAGAAAATCTCAAAAAAATCGATATGATAAGTGAGATGCTATTCAGTTCAAATGTGCAAACCCAGACGCAGGACTAGAAACACACCACTATCCGCACACGTTACAGCAAAGTCGCAGCAGAGCCCAGCCCTAACACCCCACTGGTTCTCATAAGCTCTAAAGAGCTTTCAGGCAGAAACACCACCTAAGAGTGCAGGGGAACCCCTCTTGCTGGAAACCTGTCTGGTTGGGGCATCTCTTACCTTTCGTAAGAGGTAAAATGAAATGTTTACTTGGGGGGCACAAATTTCAACCCCCAGCTGGACTTTTGTTCTAGGAAGTGAGCACTTGGATTGTCCTTGTCTGGCCACCTCTGCCCACAGCCCCCCCCGCCCCCCCAACAAAGGGCCCATCCATCCAGAAGCCTCCAGATGCAGAGCTTGGAAAAGGTGCTGGGGCACTTCCTGGGGGCGTGGCTGGGAAGGCTGAGGCCCTGGAAGTCCCCAGGTCCATTGTTTTATCTGCAGCTCAGTCATCACCCAGGGGACTTTTCTTTTTACAGTGCTCTGTAAATCCCTCCATGGAACTGTCATCTCTCCACCCCCAACCTCCCAAATAGAATTGCAAGTGACATGTTGATTTTTGCTTTGAGTTCCATCATTACCTTAGCTCACTTTCCGAAGGAATGTCTGGCATGTCACCCACTTTCAAACTCACTTATGATAAAACTGAAGCACTAGCTGTTCACATGCCGGCAACAGACCGGACTATGGGACCCGATTCCCTGCCCCGTGTCTTCCCAGAAAGTTCTCATGGTGTCATCATGTGCAGATAAATTTTTAAATGTAAATACAGCAATCAAGGGGAAAACCCTTAAAAAAAAAACTCCCCTTTGTTCTTAATTGCTAAAGGAAAATGTCCATAAATGGAAGTAGTTCAGTGTTTCCTGGGCCATCTGGGTAAATTCTCAAAGGTTGGCCAGACTCCAGAAAACAATGTTCTCTGAAGCAAGCACTCCGGCTGAAGTGGCAGGCTTCCATTTTATGCAGAAACATATATAGCATTCCCACAGCTTGCTCTCAGGGAGCAGGAGAAGCCAGGCCAGAGCCGAAGGAATGTCTTTTCATTTTTAAGGGCAGATGGTCTTTTTTTCCTGTGTCTGCCTGGTGGTACACCTAGGCAGGGAATGCAGTAGGAAATGAACAGCTCCACATAAAGCATGATTTCCCGGGCCTCTTTTTTGGGTGTAGTTATTGAAGACAGAAACATTCTAATCTAGCCTTTGTTTACCAATACGACAGATGGGGAAGAGCAGAGAGAAGGGGGACACATGCTCGGAACACAGAGGAAATGACAGGGTGAAAGATTCTGGGAACTTCAGTACACTGAGGGGGGTGCCAGCTGCTGTGTTCCCTTAGTCTGAAATGTGGTCACCCACCCAACTGTGAAATGTCTAATTCTTAAGAGTAAATGCGCTGCCCACAGTTCCTTGGCCACACCAACCCTTGATCTACAGATATCTGGGGTTGAATGAGAGGTGAAGGAGCCCACACAGGGAAAGTTCTCCCCTGGATTGCACTGGTGGGGGTCCAGGGCTGTGGGCATGACAAGACAGGCTGGAAGGGAGAGGCGGCCACCCTGAGATCAGAGATCATCACCCATATGCCGTCTCAAAG